GGTCATTATTTGTAGTTAGAGATTGAAATTTTGTTATTTCGATAAATTTTTTATTATAAATTTCATTAGGATCAAGTGATATTACGCTTTTTGGTCGGCACGTCATTAAAAAGACGATGGAGAACCTTGCTCCGGCATGGGCAAGGTGTTATAGCGGATGTCTCAGGAGGGGGCACTTTCCACGACAGTGGAAACTAGCGAGGCTTGTACTTATTAAAAAGCCGGGCAAGCCTGACCTCTCCCCGTCCTCGTACAGGCCCTTGTGCCTGTTGAGCGATGCGGGGAAGCTGCTCGAGAGAGTGGTCGTGCGAAGGCTACAAACGTTTCTGGACGATACGGAGGGCATCGCGGATGGCCAGTACGGGTTTAGACGGCATCGGTCCACCGTGGACGCTATATGGTGTCTCAGGGAGCGAGTGGGACGGGTTACACGGGACGGGGGTGTTGTAGTCGCGGTGTCCTTGGACATCGCGAATGCATTCAACTCCCTCCCGTGGCCCACTATTAGAAGAGCTCTGGATGAGAAGGGTGTTCCGGGGTACCTCCGGAACATCCTGCACGACTATCTCTCGGGCAGAGGTCTGACATATGTGGACCGCAGAGATAAATTGGTACGAGAAATCGTGACATGCGGGGTTCCACAGGACTCGATTCTTGGGCCGACCCTGTGGAACATAGGATATGACACAGTGCTGAGGGCAAACATGCCAATTGGGTGCTCAGTGCTGTGCTATGCGGACGACACGCTGCTAATTGCCGACGCAGCGACGTTCGATGATGCGCGCATTAGGGCTGAACTGGGGTCCACATATGTCATAAGGCTCATAGAAAGGCTGGGATTGAGGGTCTCAGTAGCGAAGACTGAGGCGGTTGCCTTCACCGCTGAGGGCATCCCGGAGGGAGCGACTATTGGGGTCGGGAGGAGGTGGTTCCGATTGGATCCGCCGTGAAGTACCTGGGGTTGACCCTGGACTCGCGGTGGACCTTTCGGGACCACTTCCGCCTCCTTATGCCCTGGGCTTGGAGGATGGCCGGAGCGCTGGCAAGAATTACCGCCAATATTGGCGGGCCGGGCGAACGGCGCAGGCGGATGTACGCAACAGTGGTGATGTCCGTACTGCTGTATGGGGCCCCAATCTGGGCACAGACGGTGGCGGGGGACCGAGGTATCCTGAATGGCGTGCGAAAGCTGCAGCGGCAGCTCGCCTTGCGGACGATCAGGGGATACCGGACCATTTCGCACGACGCGGCGGCCATCCTCGCGGGGATGGTCCCGTTCGACCTTGCGGCGAACCGGATTAAACGTTCGTATATTCGAAGGAGGGATATACTCGCTAGGGACGGGGCGGTGACCCAGCACGTAGGGGCGGTCCTGATGGAGGTCGAGCGACGCCGCTCTATTGAACGCTGGCAGGGACGGCTGAACGAGCTGCCCACGGGTGGGCCGGGCGCGGTCGTCCAAGGTGCCATCGGAGACGATCTGGAGGGGTGGATCGGGAGGGCGCATGGCTCCCTCACATACCGCATTACGCAGATTTTAACGAGGCACGGGGTGTTCGAGTCCTATCTATACAAGATAGGACGAAGGGACACCCCGATCTGCCTCTTTTGCAGGGCCACGAGTGACACGGCGGCGCATACCCTTCTGTTCTGTCCGGCCTGGACAGAGCAGAGGGGGGCGCTGCTGGAGATCATAGGAGTAGATAGAACACTCCGAGCGGTGGTGAGGGCTGCCATGCGCTCTGCCGAGGCATGGCATGTCCTCGCAGAGTATTGCGAAAAAGTCATGAGGATAAAAGAGGAGGATGAACGCGCACGAGAGCGGGGTACTGTCCCGCGCGTGGGGATACTAGCCCTACCTCCTGACGAGGAAGACTCCGACACCGGATAGGACCGGTGGTCATAGAGTAAAAGGATAGGTTGCGTACGCATGTGTGTATATAGTATATATAGTATGTAAATAGTGTGTATATAGCACATATAATACATTGTAAATAGCGGCTATAGATATTAAAGACTTACAATTCTGCTAAGTCTTCGAAAAGTATGTTCTTATATGATACATTGTAAATAGCGGTTATAGTTATTAAGGACTTACAACCTGTTAAGTCTTCGAAGAATATGTCCTTATACGATAAGGAAAGTAGGGACCCGTGTATAGATAGCGGTAGCGAGCCGAAGCTCGATAGGTTGGGGGGCACTCCGATGTTATGCTAGAGTGCGGTTCCGGAGTGCCTCCCTTGCCGATGCGGTAGTACGCATAGGGGGGAGTTTTTAGTCGGTAGGCGGCCGTCTCGGTGCGTCCTTGGGGTACTTTGTACTTCAGGGATCACGAGATGGCTGAATCCGGCACTCCCGACGGTACGGGCCGTCGGGGGTCTTCCCCTCCCCGATGGGTGTCCCGAAAGGGTCCCCCTCGGGAAGGGGTATAAGAAGATTTTCTCCTCCTACGTAAAACAAAAACAAAAAAAAAAAGGCCACAACCAACGACACTTACTCAATGACGACATTTGACCAATGTCCGGCCAACGTTGGCACTATGTTGGCAACTGGTTGTTACGCCAACCTCGGCGCGACGTCGGCACAGGCTAAGTTAGCTGACTCTTATTTCAAGACAACTTCAGGCCACGGCCGGGTGAAGGTTGGGTCAACGTTGGCAGTATGTCGGCAACCGGTGGTGACGCCAATCACGGCGCGACGTTGGTCCAACGTACGTTAGCCGACTTTTACATATTGACGAAGCTCGGGCCAACGTTGGCTGCACGTCGGCAACCGGTGGTCACGCCAACCCCGGCGCGACGTCGGGGCAACGTACGTTAGCCGACTTTTACATATTGACGAAGCTCGGGCCAACGTTGGCTGCACGTCGGCAACCGGTTGTTACGCCAATCTCGGCGCGACGTCGGCCCAACGGACGTCAGCCGACTCTTACTTATTGACTTGAGGCTACCGTCGGGCCAATTCACCAGTCAAAGGAATTCCTCGAGCTTCGTCAATAAGTAAGTGTCGCCTGATATTCGTTGGACCGACGTCGAGCCGTGGTTGGCGTGACCGCCGATTGCCGACATGCTGCCAACGTTGGCCCGAGCTTCGTCAATATGTAAAAGTCGGCTAACGTACGTTGGACCGAGGTCGCGCCGTGGTTGGAGTGACCGCTGATTGCCGACATGCTGCCAACGTTGGCCCGAGCTTCGTCTATATGTAAGAGTCGGCTAACGTACGTTGGACCGAGGTCGCACCGTGGTTGGTGTGACCGCCGGTTGCCGACATGCTGCCAACGTTGACCCGAGCTTCGTCAATATTTAAAAGTCGGCTAACGTACGTTGGG